TGAGCACTTGTGTCATCTTAAACACATCACATAAGACTCTTCCCTCCCTACACTTTTACAGATTGACGGGGTGAGTCCAGACATGGTCTTTCACAGCAGGACTGAGATTGGTGTGAGTCTCTCTCTAAAAGTGACGCTTCGTGGCTTTTCTCACTGAAGGCGGAGAAAACAACGTATGGAAAACAAGGATTTAAAGTGCTAATACACACGCACAGAAGCATGTGCACACACCCTGGAAACCCAGGTACCTCGTGTTCCCTCTGGCAGGAGGGGAATCACAAGGAGACACAATTCTCGAGGGACAGAGGTTGTCCTAAGGACAGGGAGGGGCTCCAGACTGAAGGACAAAGGCTTCGAGCTGAAAATTTTAAAAGTGCAGGGAAGGGGCCTGAGGACGAGCCGGTCCCCTCAAACCCAGCCCGGCCGGCCTCACCGCAGCCCGGGCAGAGCAGGGACGGGACAACCATCAAGGCAGGTGGCCAGCGGCAGCGGAAGAAAGAAGGGCGCTCTGGTCCCTTCGGAAGAACGAAGTCACAGGGCTCGCTGCCCCCAAGCCAAACGAGGTGACACTCCCCCCTCCACCTGCCGTGGCCTGGCTCCAGTCTTAACTTTTTTTTTTTTTTTTTTTTTCGGTACGCGGGCCTCTCACTGTTGTGGCCTCTCCCATTGTGGAGCACAGGCTCCGGACGCGCAGGCCCAGCGGCCACGGCTCACAGGCACAGGCGCTCCCCGGCATGTGGGATCTTCCTGGACCGGGGCATGAACCCATGTCCCCTTCATCGGCAGGCGGACTCCCAACCACTGCGCCACCAGGGAAGCCCCAAAAGAATGTTTAACTCCCTTCGCATCTGGTTCCTGTAATCCGGGTACCACTAGGTTATTTTTCATTATTTTCTGTTCCTTTCCTCTTGAAGATGGCAAAGCGGGTACAGTCTCTGTGGATTTCACAAGATTTGTGGCTTCCTTCGCCCCCCCTGTGGATGCTCTGGGGTCCGCTGAGCCCAGTGCACAGACACTGCGGTTTGAAAAAAGCTTGAATTTCTTTAATTTTCAGGGAACAAACGCTTGGGGTAGTTTTAAATTAGATTGCCCTGTTCCTGATCCTTCCATCCTTTGACCTGGTCTTTTTCATCCCCATCAGCGCTCTTCTAAACATCTGAACAGAACTTTCAATGATGAAACCAGGTAGCAGGTTGTCAACGTGCTCTGCTGACCACAGGACCAGGCCAGGGACCCCTCTCTCCTTCCCTTCACAACCAACACCCTGGAAAGAATCAGCCACAAACCTACCAGGTATTCCAGGGCAACCGGACACTGCCCCAGCTCATTTCATTTTCTTTCTTTAATATGCCTCAGTCTCCACATCTAAAAAATAAAGTTAACCTAGAAAAATCTCTAATACCCCTTCCAGCTCTATCATCCCATGATTTTAAAATGTATTCCCCATCCTCAGCTCAGCTTTATGTCCTGATACCTTCATGCTCTTCCAACTACTTCCCTGGTGAGTTCAGTCTGGGAAGCTTGCAGGTTTGTTCAATAAGTAAATCCGTCCCGCACACAGACGGAAGTCACATCGCACACCCTGGCTCCAGAAAGCCACAATCACAGTCTCTGGATGCCAAGGACCCAAAGGCAAAAGTGTCCCGTGGAAAAGAATGCACAACCCTTTTTGATCGGACAGGCAGGACTGGCCCATTATTCTGTACCTTTTTAATAGCTCACCCACTTCTTTTTCTCTCAGATTCAATAAAAGCTCATCTCGTAACTTAAATTTTGAATATATTAAAATGTGAGGCAAGTCAACACACACAAAGATGAGCAGGGGCAGAACTCGGGGGACTCGGCGGATCACAGGGGCGCCTTCTGTTACGCTTCACAGCGAAAGGCTCTTTGCTAACGCTCTGCACCTGGCCCCAGGCTGGGAGGAGGGTGGCCAGAGCGATCAGCCAAAACAGGATAAAATTCTGAGCCGGTCGTTCGTTCTTTTGTTATTGAGCTGCATGAGCTGCTTGTAAATTTTGGAGATTAATCCTTTGTCAGTTACTTCATTTGCAAATATTTTCTCCCATTCTGAGGGTTCTCTTTTCATCTTGTTTATGGTTTCCTTTGCTGTGCAAAAGCTTTTAAGTTTCATTAGGTCCCATTTGTTTATTTTTGTTTTTATTTCCATTTCTCTAGGAGGTGGGTCAGAAAGGATCTTGCTGTGATTTACGTCATAGAGTGTTCTGCCTATGTTTTCCTCTAAGAGTTTGATAGTTTCTGGCCTTTCATTTAGGTCTTTAATTCATTCTGATCTTATGTTTGTGTATGGTGTTAGGGAGTGTTCTAATCTCATACTTTTACATGTACCTGTCCAGTTTTCCCAGCACCACTTATTGAAGAGGCTGTATTTTCTCCACTGCATATTCTTGCCTCCTTTATCAAAGATAAGGTGACCATATGTGCGTGGGTTTATCTTTGGGCTTTCTATCCTGTACCACTGATCTATATTTCTGTTTTTGTGCCAGTACCATACTGTCTTGATTACTGTAGCTTTGTAGTATAATCTAAAGTCAATGGGCAGAAGACCTAAATAGACATTTCTCCAAAGAAGATATACAGATTGCCAACAAACACATGAAAGAATGCTCAACATCGTTAATCATTAGAGAAATGCAAATCAAAACTACAATGAGATATCATCTCACACCGGTCAGAATGGCCATCATCAAAAAATCTAGAAACAATAAATGCTGGAGAGGGTGTGGAGAAAAGGGAACACTCTTGCACTGCTGGTGGGAATGTAAATTGATACAGCCACTATGGAGAACAATATGGAGGTTCCTTAAAAAACTGCAAATAAAACTACCATACGAACCAGCAATCTCACTACTGGGCACATACCCTGAGAAAACCATAATTCAGAAAGAGTTGTGTGGGTTTCCCTGGTGGCGCAGTGGTTGAGAGTCCGCCTGCCAGTGCAGGGGACACGGGTTCGTGCCCCAGTCCGGGAAGATCCCACATGCCGCGGAGTGGCTGGGCCCGTGAGCCATGGCCGCTGAGCCTGTGCTCTACAACGGGAGAGGCCACAACAGTGAGAGGCCCGCGTACCGCAAAAAAAAAGAAAAAAGAAAAGAAAGAGTCACGTACCAAAATGTTCATTGCAGCTCTATTTACAATAGCCAGGACATGGAAGCAACCTAAGTGTCCATCATTAGATGAATGGATAAAGAAGATGTGGCACATATATACAATGGAGTATTACTCAGCCATAAAAAGAAACGAAATTGAATTATCTGTAGTGAGGTGGATAGACCTAGAGTCTGTCATACAGAGTGAAGTAAGTCAGAAAGAGAAAAACAAATACCGTATGCTAACACATATATATGGAATCTAAGAAAAAAATAAAGGTCATGAAGAACCTAGGGGTAAGACGGGAATAAAGACACAGACCTACTAGAGAATGGACTTGAGGATATGGGGAGGGGGAAGGGTAAGCTGTGACAAAGTGAGAGAGTGGCATGGACATATATACACTACCAAATGTAAGGTAGATAGCTAGTGGGAAGCAGCCGCGTGGCACAGGGAGATCAGCTCGGTGCTTTGTGACCACCTAGAGGGGTGGGATAGGGAGGGTGGGAGGGAGACGCAAGAGGGAAGAGATATGGGAACATATGTATAACTGATTCACTTTGTTATAAAGCAGAAGCTAACACACCATTGTAAAGCAATTATACTCCAATAAAGATGTTTAAAAAAAAAATTCTGAGCGGGAAAGGAGCTGCTGAAGATAGTTAACAGGCATAAACAGGCACCAACCAAGGCTCCCCGAGGTGAGCAAGTCTGTCCTGTGCGAATCCGGATGTGTGTTACCATCTACGCGGAATATCAGGAGCCAACAGAGGATTCAGAGTAAGATCACAGATGCGATCAGAGCTGGCCGACAGGCCCTTTCGGGAATCGTGAACTTGGCCTCTCACCTGCTGGCCTCTCCCGGCCCCCTTCCTTCCTCTCCCACCCGATCTGCAGGATGGGGCTCCTCAGAGCTCTCTCCTGGCCTCTAACTTCTTTTCTTCTACCTCTGTAATCTCCCTCAAGGCAAGATGATCCACTCGGAATGCCTTAAAAAAACAAAACCCAAAAAACCACAAAAACCACCCAGAACAATGAGAACAAGCACCAAAGGTAGGAATCACTTGGAGCAAATCATTTCAGTATTAGTGGCCAAAGGGGCGCAGCACACGCCACCCAGAAATGCCTACTCTCCCGGGCCTACCCTGCAATTTTTATTTTTCAGTTAAAAACATGACTTTCCATGTAACAGCTCAAGTTCCCCTCCACTGGATGTATTTTAGGCACTGGTGCTTTCCCCGCCCCCAAACTCCCACTCTGCTCTGCCAACCCCGCTTTTCAGCCAACAAGGGATGCAACGGAGAGACTCAGCAGAGACAGGCAGAGTCAGGTCACAAATCAGAGAGATGAGGTATTCACATGTGGGCAGTTTCAGAGATCCTTTGTTCAGGGAAACAGACGCTGAATTATTCAAGTCACCAGGAGCATTTATAATACCTAATGAAAGGCAGCAAGGATCCCATGAAACCAACTAGGGACAGTTTGTTACATCGGCCAAAAGCATGAGAGCTCTACTAGTTAATTGACCTCACAAATAAACTGAAGGGCGATCTATGTTCACTGTAAAATGTGTCAACGTCTTCCCGAATAAACTGCCTCGTGTTTGGGAAAGCCACCACTCTAAATCCGGTAGGTTTAGCTGTGTGCCACCCAGAGCTGAAGAGCACCAACAAGGTTAACAGGAAATTCTCCCCTGAGCCTGGGATGGTCCTGCCAGGGTTCAAAAGGACTGTAAATCTATTCATCAGGAAAAGCCAAAGTCATATGAAACGAACTGGTAAGTCTTCCCATTAACAGTGTGTGCCAGGACAACAGCAGCTCAGCCATTAAGAACGTCCAACTCGGAAACACCCTCATCAACATAAAACAGTCGTTTCCAGGCTACTTACATCAGTGTCGGGTCCTTTATCTGCACCCGGACAAGAGAAAGTAACAAATTCATGGCACCTCTTGTGAACCACAAAACAGCAAACTGGTGGAGAGAGAAGAAAACTAAAATTAGTGAAGTCTAGACTGAATATACAAAGCTTTGTTTTCCAAACAGGGCTACATGCTGTCATAAGTCAAGTTAATTTCACTACAGAAAGAATCTCGTAAACAGTAATCAGAAGGCATTTCATTCAAGACTCAGCCACATTTGGTTTTGGGGGTTTTTCTAATAAATTTATTTATTTATTATTTATTTTTGGCGGCGTCGGGTCTTCGTTGCTGCACACGGGCTTTCTCTAGTTGCAGTGAGCAGGGGCTACTCTTCGTCGTGGTGTGTGGGCTTCTCATTGTGGAGCACGGGGCTACAGGCGTGTGGGCTTCAGCAGTTGTGGCTCACAGGCTCAGCAGTTGTGGCGCACGGGCTTCAGTAGTTGTGGCGCGCGGGCTTAGCTGCTCTGCGGCATGTGGGATCTTCCCGGACCAGGGCTAGAACCCGTGTCCCCTGCATTGGCAGGCGGATTCTTAATCACTGTGCCACCAGGGAAGTCCCCACATTTGGTACTGACTGGACTCCTACATAACAGAACCACAAGATGCCAGCACGGACAGGGCCCCGGGAGACCTAAACCTTAGTTCCTCTTCTCTAAAGTTGAGGGGAAGGGCTAGGGATTGTAAGACGGTTCTGCCAAGGTATAAACCAGGAAGCAACACGTAAATTACTGTGCACCCTCCTCCACCAACACAGAGGTGTGTAAACACTGATAAACACTAGACCCTATTAGTAAGAGAATAATTTATTATAAATAATACGTGTATATCCCCAACTGTGGGTGCAGCACTTCCTCAGAAGAGTTCTGAACGTCAAGAACTCCTGAAGACACAAACCCAACCTACAGAAAACAGCCCTCTGAAGTGAAGAAAAGCTAGGGTGCAACCTCACACCCCTCTTGTATATGCCTGCTCAGCACTAGCTGGGAGGGGACCCGCAAATCTACCAAATCCACGACACAAAGCGTTTCCCAAACTCAGCATGGTTTGGTGAGTATTCCCGAAGATGAATCAGTAACTGAATCATTAGTTACAGAAATTAGTAAGTAACCTAAGATTTTTATGAAAAGTATAACATGGAGGATACAAAAAAAATAAGTGACCGAGGTCACCCTTCCTTAAAAGCTTCCGGTTCAGCTCCAAAGGGCATAACCCACTACTCTGTTGTTCTCTGCTGAACAGCACGCTAAAAAACAATACTCCCTCAGAAATACTGGGTTAGTCCTTAGTCTTTAGTGAAGGCAGGCTAGAAATTCCCAGGTTCCCAGCTCTCGGCTACTCCCACAAGTGACACCAGCAGTGCACCTTCCTGCACACGTGTCAGTAGATAAAGCCAGCTGAAGAGGGTCAGGCCCAGGAGAGGGTGGGAGAGGCTGGCAGGTTTGCCCAGAGCCAAGACCCTAAAACTAAGGGCGCACTTAGGGGCCAGTAAGACATTCAGGATATTTGTGAGGGGCACGGGCAGCCCCGAAAGGTGTGAGCCAGATAAACAGACAAAAGCGGTGCTTCTGAAGGGCCAGGGGTGCTGCGGCAAGAATACACTGAACAGATCAGGCCGTAAGGGCCCGCGGAAGCCCACTGTATAGTCGGGGGATGAAAGTGATCACCCAGCACTATTCAGTCTGGAAGAGATGGACGTTAAGAGACGTCAGGGAAATCGAAGAACTGATGGGACCTGCCAGCTGACCACAGACACCATTTGTCGAGCCTCCTGTTCTGTGTCACTCTGATGGGTCATTTCACCTGCATGATCTCACTGAGTCCTCATAACACTACTTAATATGCTCTGACGTCTACATTTTATGGAAGGGAAAATGCTGTACTGATCTCTGCCGTCTAGCATGTTACAAGCGCACAGTGTCTGCAGACAGAAGAGATGGTGGCAGAGGACAGATGGATGGAGAGATGAACGGGGCAGACAGAAAAGGGTCTTAGGTGCAGTCACCCTCCCCCATGTAGTGGAGTGAGGACTCTTAAGGTTTGCTGGACGCCACAGCCCTTTCCCTCTACCACGTCCACTGGTGGACAGGAGAGCAAAAGATGCTGAAGGCGATGCCAAGATTCTGCACGTGGGTGCCAGGAAAATGGGTCCATAAAAACATACTTTTAAGTATATTTAATAAATATATACACATAAGTATATGTGTGTGTGTGTGTGTGTGTGTGTGTGTGTGTGTCTACGCGGGTGTGTACATATGAAACCTGGAGGATGAAGATGGGGGTAAACCATGTCAGGGAAGCAGGATAAAGGATGACTGTTTTCTTTTTAAACAGCTTTATTTTAAGATGGTCACAATACAAGGTCACTGTAAAAGTGTATCTTTTATAAAATTCCTTCAGGCTCGGCATGAGCAGGCAGAATTGGACAAGTGAGGGAACCGTCCACAGGAAGGTGAACACTCAAGACCTCACAGGAGCATCCTTTCAGAAGCAGAGATAACCTGAGGAAGGGGCTCTCTCGGCTGCTGCCCACTGGGCACCACTGGGGCCCGAGGGGGGGGGGGTACTGTAAAGGAGCAGAGGAAAGAGCCCCTGGCTGCCCGGGCAGGGCCCAGACACCGCAAAGGGCAGCACTTCACTCCTAACAGCCTGCAGAGCAGCGGGCTTTCGCGGTGTTGCAGAAGCATCCCCATCGCGCCGCTCCCTAAGGATGGATAGTAAAGCAGCGCGGACGGCTCAGATTAATCCCATCCGCTTGCTCTCCCCAGACAGTCAGCTTCCACTCACTGGGATTAGGACGATAAATCACTAAAGGGAGAGGGCCACGGGAGCCCTACTTCCTCATCACAGTTATTATGGATACGCTGTTTTGAAGGGAAAAGGCGCGTTCTGATTCCCTACGTAATCATTCAAACATTCGAGCCTTTCGTCTCTTCTTTGTCCATCTCATTCAGGTGGACACTTAAGAAAATCCATATTTATCAGATCCCTTTGGCTAGTTCGGTGTTTGCACCTGTCCTTTCTATCCCCATTTACCTGTCAGTGCAATTACATCTCTCCAGCTGGCCGTGTATTGATTGTACACCTTAAATCGCATGTCCAATTTTATCCTGAAAAGAACCGCACCCTCACTGCACGATATAATCCGAAAGGGCAGCAAAAACCCCAGCCACCCCAAAATCACTTCTTCCCAACCTGCCTCAGTGGCCCCTCTCGCCCCACCTTACATCTAAGGTGCCTGTACTCACTCCCCCAACGGGAGAGCGGGGAGAAGGGTCCAGAGACCGGCTCCCCCAGGAGAGTTATCAGGGGATGAAGACCCTGCAAGGCCTGTTCAACGACTCAAGATTCAGACTTAATGAAAAAGAACACGCCAGCACCCAGGCCGGGGATGGGGGCTGATTAAGGAGAGGGAGCGCCAGCCCCAGCTGCGGGGAGACTGGGCGGCCAGGAAGAGGAGCTGGGCTGGAGCGGACTCCAGGCGGAAGCAGCACTGCCTGGAATGGCTGCCCAGGAAACGGAGCAAGGGCCAGACACTCCGACATCCCTGACAGCTGGCCTTGACCTCTGGCTTCAGGTTCTAAACTGAGGTGGGTCATTCTTACTTTGTAAGACAACAAAACACCAACATTTGCGATGTCTTGCTAGTGCAGTTGAAGATTGAGGAAAGCACTGAATAGAACAAGAGAATGCCCTGGGTTCACCAGGTCAGCACAGACTTCCTTGGGCTAACAATTAGGTGCTATTGTTTCTATCCTTTATTATTCGGAATTCTGAAAGTCTGCATCTCACCACGTTCTGCGGGGCAAGGGAATGGGGAGCATGGAGGGTCGGGGGTCACACAGGACGCTTGCCATACATATGTGCTTGACCTTGGCAGGCAAAGGAGGAAGAAGTAGAGACACAGGGCCTGGCAGCTTCCTACCCCATGGTCTGTGTCCTGGAGCTGGACCCCTGGCCCCTCAAGGAGCCTTTGCTGAAGCAAGCCCAGGCTGGTCTATACGACCCTGAATGGGGTTTCATTTTCAAAGACTTTGGGTCACCTCTGCTTATATAACCAAATGAGAGGTTTGAAAACACGAAGCTATCCTGCAGCTTGAAGCCGCAAAGTAAATCTTCATTCAATTATTTTCTAAGCATAAAATGGCTTTCCCTCTAATGCTCTGTGATGCACTCCTGCTGGCTGGCAGTGACGGATGACACACGGCACTAAGCGAACGACACGGAGGACAAGAAGTAATCCAGGCCACAGGCCTGGACAGACAGCGACTCTCAATGCTGCCTGCTCTAAAACTGAGAATACCCATTCTCCTGACCCACACTGCACGCTCATCTTACTTATGGAAGCGAAATGAAAGGAAATTAGGCGAGTTTTCGCCATCTGTCAAGAGTATGCTTCAGATACAGAACAAATAAGTCACCTATGTTTGGCTCGAGAATTCGAAAAAAAACCCCCCCCCCCCAAAAAAATAGAGGTGTGTGTGGTGACGCTGACCTGTTGATGTTCACAGCGGTTCTCAATCACGATTGTTAGTTTCAAGAGAACAAAAACCAGTAGAGGGTGGGCTGAAATCCACTCAGAGGAACAACACCCCCTTCTGACTGTTCCCCCACCCACGAATTTGATAAGAGCGGGCTCAGCTCTAACGAGTCTTGGCCCATCACACACACGGGGTGGACCTGAGTGCTCTGTCTCTGTGTCAAACGTCATCGTCACACAGATGGGCAACTGGGAGCCCGTGACACTGGACAATGTTTCCTAGAGTGATTGTGGGCAAATGCGAAGCCCAGGGACGCCTTCCATCCTCCATTCATGCACAGAGCTCTACTTAAAAAGAAAAAAAGCATATGGTGAACTGATGCCACATAACAAGGAATCAGCTGCACTCAAGTGCTTCTTGCTCATCAATGCAAATTCCTCCTTAAAACTGCCACCAACACGATCACACACAGGAAAGGTGATTAGTCACTACTTCATACCTACTGGGAAGGCTATTATTAAAAGAAAGAAGAAAACAAAGCACCAGGTGACGGTGAGGATGAGACGAAACTGGA